TAGGATTCTTTGTAGGTTTTGTTGAGGGGAAAGGTTAATTCTGCAGTTTGCCTGCTTCAGAGAGCTATTAGATGAAGAGCTAGCTGATGTTTGTAAAATGTGTATGTGTTTATACATAGCATGTTGATTAATTTCCTACCATGTGCTTGCACTACTGAAAGGCACAGGAAAAAATAATCACAGTCCCAGTGGCAAATGTTGTTATAGAGTTCAATTTCGTCAGTTTTACAAATATTTTCAGGGCATGACATGCCTAACTCTGCCAGATGGAGGGGGATGGGTCAGGGAAGCGTGTAGTATAGGCTATAGTTACCTGACTGTGTCTTGAAGTTAGCCAGGTAGACAGTAGGTTTTTTCACCATTTTGCTAAAAACGTTTACAAATTACATTACCTATCTTTCTGCCTTTTAAAATGAAGTATACTGAACATAATGTACCTTCTCTTTGTTAGAATCACTCTATTATATGAGTACATGGGGCTACTTTACACTGAAATGACTATACTATAGTTGGTGATTTAGTCTTATCCCTTCTCTTTTCTTTTCCTTGGATGAAAAATAATAAAAGACCAGATGACAAGATTAATATTTTTCAAAAATTTGAAATTCTGAGGTAATCGAGTTTACATGAAAGTGGTTTGTATAAAACCAGTGTCACTCTCAATATCTCAAAATGGTGTTCCTGAATTTAATTGGATGTGGGAATGGAAAGGGATGGTATCAAGGTTGGGGTCAGAGGTAGCTTTTCTGTACCTCAAGTTGTGAGACCATAGACAAACTTTAAAAACATTCCTTTTTTACTTTTCTAAACTTACTTTAGCTACATCTGTAAGTAAGAGTTAAATCTGTGAGCTTTAAGCAAGGTACTAGGTAATTTCTGCCTTTGTGTAAGGTGCATATTTTTTTGTCTTTGTAAAGTTGCCTACCATCAGAATTTTAATGTAGTGATAGGACTCATTTTTTATTCCTAAGGAATTTGGAAATTGGAAGACAAACCTTTTTCTGTTTTTTTTTTGTTTTTTTTTTTAGGAATAAATATATCCATGATGCGTAAAGTAAGCTAAATATTGATCTTAGGCTCACTCAGTGTTTAGTGTGAATTTGTTTAGTGTGAATTTTACAACTTGGATAAAGACTTTTAAAATAATCAACTATTATTGATATGTTAGCAAGTAGACTCCATGAAAGCTGTGATAATAGCATTTTAAAACTTTATCTTAAGGCTGTGTCTAAATGCATAAAACAATTGTAAATGTATAGAGCTCTGGAAATTTGAACACTTCATGAATATAAGGATTTTGAATATGAAAAAGTAAAGTGTATTATGTTATCTGCTTCTTTCAGACTATTTTGGCCAAAATCAAAGTGTTACGATTACTTATATCAAGAAGCGGAAGCTCTTCTGAAAAATTTTCCAATTCAAGCCACAATTTCATTTTATGAAGATTCTGATAGTGAAGAAGAAATTGAGGAACTGATCTGTGAAAATCAATCTGATTAGTTACTTTTGATGATATATTAAAAGTTTGTAGGATTTAAATTTAGTGTGCAAATGTATCATAATCCTTTTAAGCTAATTTATTTGTATATAAATTATTAATAAAATGAATATTTTATAATTACTATGGAACTTTGGCCTTTTTTAAAATCTCTACACTATAATCCAATACTGGAATTTAAAAATAGATGCCATTTACACATGTCTTGATTGTTTTGTAAACATTTGGGGCTTACAAAAGATAATTTTGATCTCTTCATCAAAACAAGTTTCTTTAGTTATAA